TTTTTTTTTTTTTTTTTTGCTGAGGTCTGAAACATGGTATGGAAAATCCCAGATTTTGGTCTGAAATAGAGTACAGGTTTCAAGGGTGGACCACACACCCTCACCAAAAACTTGGGGAGTACCCCTCAGGGGGTCAGATAGTTCAGTTCAGTATTTCAAAACCGGAAAATTCTTGAAAAAAAAAAAAATTCTGACTTGGTTGCAAGACTTACATGGGAAAAGAAGATGAATCATATTGCTGTACAGATGAATAAGTTTATTATGTTGTTAGTCTTGTTAGATTTGCTCGAGCCTCAAACTCTCAGTGAAAATGGAGGAGACATTATTTTGTAATAATTATCTTGAACTAGAATATTTTTTTAGAAAATGCACAATAAAAATTCCTGAAAACATGAAGGAAAAATATGGCTTTGATTTCATCTACTTTGTTTAGCCTCCAGGCCGCAATCTTCCCACCTCACAGACAAGATTGCGTGATGAGCTCAAAGAGTATCTTCGTAAGAGGCTATGTTAAGATCAGAGAGGGAAGTCAACCTTAGTATCATGACAGTTCATACAAGAGTTGCACAGAAAATCTTTTAGGAGGAATGTGTCTTTATAATGCCATAGCTTTCAAATAAATGTGAATTTTGCAGTAAGGTATTCTCTAACCATTGGCTCTGAGTTTTTGATGCGAAAATAAGTATTCACAGTTTGACTTTTTTCTTTCTTTTCAGTCATCTGATTTGCCAAGTATGGGTTTGGTAGGAATTCAAAAATGTTGTTCAAAGAGCCTTTTAGTGGAATGAACTTGGTACAGTAACATGTGTAGCAAGTTCTCATTCTTGAAAGTAAATATTCACTGCATAAGTCACTCCACTTCAACTTGCACTCTGCTATTACCAGGAGCCTGATTACGTGAGCACCACACCTTCTCCAAGGGCTAACTGAACAGTTGCAACTGACAATCTACAGGTGCAAATGCTAGTAGCCTTACAATAGTATTGTCAGATCTCCTCAATCTTGTGTACTGATTGGAAGTGAATAATTTCTAAGAAATAAATGATTATTCAAACCGTACTACTTTACAAAATCAAATAAATAACCCAATACATTATTCATTGCCAAAATTTAAGTCATTTTAATGCGAAAATTTCTACAGAACTTTTCTTAAAGAATTATTACTATTTACAATAATCATATAAAGTTGTGTCAAATAAAGTATGGAGGTTTTCTGACAGTTATTCCATATTCACTGAGCGCTGGAGTCAAGTCCTCCATGGTGAGTGTGTAACGCTTGTCCTGCAAATACATTCACCAAAAATAGGCATCAGCAAAAATGCTAAATCAATGTCAAATGAAGTGAAACAAGTTTACAGTCTTAACTCAAGTTCTACATATACCAAGAAAGGATCAGCTTGGATTTTAATTCTGCAACCTGATTTTTATATTATGCTTTATATGTACCTTTTCATAAATAATGTACAAGTATGTCCCATGAATAGCTCTGGATTTGAACACACTTAGCCTGAAATGTCAGTCATTTTCTGCCTTCAGCCCGAAACCACGTGGTTAAGCCGAAGGCGAGAGACAACTCATATTTCAGGCTAGATGACCCTTGAGTATACAAACCTTGCCAGATTTCCTTGAGCTTTGGCCTGAACCTCTCATTTTACAATGCTGCAGAGCATCATTAGCAATGTCAGATACAAATTTTTGGGCAGCAAGAGAAATCATCCTCACCCTATAGAAAGGGAAAAGTCAACATTGTCACTCACTGAAAAGCACACAAAAGAAATAATAATACAGAAAAACAAAAAGAAGACGAACAGAGAGATATTAGCATTTTAACTACGTTTATCCCTACAGACAGTATTTGAAACTAACCAATACAGTTCTTAAAATATTGTTATATGCAAAGAAAACTTACACTCGTGGGTCTGTTGAGTCAAATCCTGAACGATTTAAATAAAATGCTGTGACGGCATCTGGTATCTGGCAAGGTAAGAAAAAGGCTTTCACTAAATGTGTTTCTCTGAAAAAGCTGCTATTTATGGCATGTTTGTGTTCAATGGTAAGATGCTGACAGCATTTTAAAATCCTCTACGAAAGAAGTACTTATCACTAGCTTGAGACGAGTGTTGCTATAAAATGCTATTTGTGTATGAGCTAGACAGGCTTTTATCTTTTTATACAGGCTATCCATGCTTCAAGTCTATATCATTTTTTATGCACATTCAAGGGAAAGAACTTTAGCTTTGTATATAGTTTGTGTCAATAATTCTCTGCCTGTTTACACATTCACAAGTTTCCTTTACCCCAGGGAAGAGAATTTTGATACTTCTAACAATCCTATTGTCCCCTTGCCAGGGAAGGGGGCTTAAAATTGATACGTGGATCGAAGGATGTGATACATACATGTAGTAAATCCAAACTTGTACACAAGATTCATATACAGAACAGCAGATGCATAATTCTTCACAATAGACTGTACATCTGTCATGTAAAAGGCCACTTTTTCTTCATATCCCCATTCTTAATTATGCATACAATTTTCTTTTTCTAATGCTAACATAAGCTCGTAACCAGCAGTCCTGATTCAGTAAAATGACGCTCCCAAAATGTCATACATACACACATGTGTCTGGAAATCTTTAGAAATTCCCTATTTAAAGTGAAAAAAGTATAAGCTTACTAAATTTATATAGTATTACCAGCTATAGAAATAGCTGCAAGTGAACAAGAGAATACAAACGATCAAAATATCAAAATAAATCAATCACCGTTGGCGTGTAATCTTCGAGCTGCGTTAAAAACTCTGCCAGAGAAGCCCCGGCGTTTCTGACTTTAGTATCGACATGAGATGTAGTTGCTGTGCTTGTGCTAGAAGATACAGGTTGACTTGTTGATGGCTGGGTGTTTGAAGCGGCGCTAATATTCGTTTTACTTTGAACAGAATTAGGGACTGCAGCTTGTGCATTGTCCGCCATCTTTGCTGCATCCTCTGAGCATGCGCCTCAGTGCCAACGCTGGTCATTGGTTACGCAGATTCAATCAACATGGCGGGCGATTTCAAAGTCAATATTTGCGACAAGATCGTGATAAGTGTTTACAATATTCACGATCAGTTTGCGATGAAGGATTCTTCTCTGTCCAGGATTGTAGGAATTTTTTACCTCGGCGTGTATTGGAACGTAGAGTTATGTAGGGTAACACAGGAAGACAAAAATAGCTTTTCGAACAGTTTCAAGCAACCACAGACAGATCGAGACACCTGCGCCCTGACAACGGTCTGGAAAGTGATAACAGCTCGTAAATTATTTACGATGTTTTTTACTTCAGCAGATCACGTAGGTAACCTACACCAAGGCTGTAATTACGTTTGCTACTACAGAGCCCTAAACCTTTCCTCCTGATGCAAATCCCCGGAAACGTTTTTGTGAATTTGAGAAACAGCAATGGTTGAAGCAGAGAGGACCCTCATTGCGGCCAAAGACGGAGACCTTCAGACTCTAAGATCACTTCGTCGTTCAGCCCCCTTCGCGGCCGATGGCTTTGGAGCGACAGCGCTTCATTACGCCGCTAGAACGGGAAGGATAGACTGCGTGAAGTGGTTGGTAGAAACCGTGGGAATTTCTCCCAAAGTGTACGGAAAGAGCGGGGCAACCCCTCTGCACGACGCGGCGGCTCAGGGGCGGCTCGAGTGCGTGAAATATTTTCTCGGGAACGGCTCAGTTGATGGCGACACAAGAGACGGTTCAGGACATACTGCACTGCATTTAGCGGCGAGATTCGGTAGGTTTGACACTGTTAAGTGGTTGATTGAAAGAGGAAACAGTAATCCCAGGGCCAAGTCTAAGAATCATATGACTCCAGTGCATTTTGCTGCCTCTGGAGGGCATCTGACGTGCTTAGAGCTGTTGGTTTTTAAAGCTGGGTACAGGTTAGTGTGGTGAAAAACAACATTTTATTCTGCATGTAAATCTTAGCTTGCCTTATTATGCAAATTGAAGGTTGCTGTGTGAGGAGGTGTGGTGGGAGGTGGAGGGGATGAGGGGGGGTGGGGGGGGGGGTTCTAGACGAGCCGAGTTGCAAAAGCCTAGTTCAGAAAGCAAAAAATGCCTTTGACGCTCAAAATCATAACTATGAAGAGCATGAGGTAGAGGAACGCAAGCTTGACTTGTTTCGTGNCATTCTACCCAGATGTACACTGTACATGCTGTATATTTTTAAAGGGGTACCAGTGAATTGAAAACTGAAGGGCAATCCTGTGATGGACTAGTTATCATCCCATTCAGGGGGGAAATACTGCTAGTCACTTAGTTACATGTGCAGAGACTGGGATAAACTCCAGCAGAATGAGACACTTAGCCCAGAAAATAATTTACAGATTTGATCCTGTTACAGATTGAAAGTGGCAAGGCTACCTTGAATGAGAGAGACACAACAGGTGCTACACCTGCTCACTATGCCGCAGCACAAGGTAATAATCTCAAATGTGCACTGCAGCAATCTTTTGCAGACTAGACATATATTTATTTGTGTTTGCCTTAGGGGTCATCAGCTATCACCTCATAAAAATTGAGAGTGAATAATCTATTAATAATATTGTTAAATGTTGTAACCATCCTCAGATTACATTTATTTACTATCCATGCCATTTTTGTCATTGGTTGACAAGTTTGTTACATTCCAATGCAGGTCATGTGAGTGTATTAAAGTGGCTAAATGCAAAAGGTAACATTTCCTTGACTGACAGACTTGGAGGCACTCCTCTTCATGATGCTGCAGAACAGGGCCAGTTTGAGGTGGGTACAGTGCAGCTCAGAAATAAACAAACTTTAAAACAATCAACGACNCCCTTCTCGGTGTTTGGAAATGTGGTCAAACACGGTCTTTCGTGTTTGATATTTTACTTGAAAAGGCTGGCATAAATGGCAAGGGCGAGGGTTATTAGACAAGTTGTGCAGGGCAGATATTATAAGTTGTCTTTGACACACAAATCACAGTTGCAACTCACATGCGCTTATTTCTGAAAATTGCTTCACGCAGTTTATAGCACTTGCATTTTTGAATAAGGCCTAAATTTATTCTGACGTTTCAATCGATGTTTGTTTTTTTGTTTGTTTGTTTTTCGGAAGGGGAGGAGGGGGATGAAAAGTCGATGTGACTCAAATAATTATATTCTCTGAAACTAATCTTTTTATTTCAGAAACTGCCCCCAAACATGAGCCGTGCGGGACTAAACATGATTCTTAATTTTGTTAGTGTCTGTGAAATGTGTATTGCTTTATAAGTGGCACGAATCTTAAAGTTGATGAGAGTTTTCTCTTTCCTCGTTTTTTACTCATATTTTGGGGTGGAGTTTATGGCCTGTCAAGAGGAAATGGATTTCAAATATTAGATAATCACAAAAACCTGCCGAAAGGTCGGGCGAACTCGTTCAAATCCGAAATTTTGGTTTGTATCTCGGTTCTCGGATAATTGCTGTTCGCGAAATTCGAATACAACGAATTTCTTAATGGTGAACAGTCAGACTCCAAACGTTTTGGTTATACAGTAATCACTAATATCTGATGTGCCTTGATGTTTTCAAAAACTTGCAACTTGCAACTACACCTGTGTGTCCGCAGCATTGCGCTGGGTTGAACTTCAATATTTGTTTCAGTTATTTGATTGAATTTACAAGAAAAAATCAGTTGCTGGGACCAGGCAATGCGTTTGTTATAGGAGAGTTATTGTTTCATGTTAGTTATTTATTCGCGTGGAAACGGCCATTCAATGTCTTTAGAAATGGCCTGAGAGTACAAGAGAGAGTACAAGGCGTGTTCATCTTAATTCCGAGTTTTGTTATTGATTGATGTACTGGAGCTCTGCTGAACTCATATCAGAGAGTTGCCGGCTAGTGTACTCAGATTCATATTTGCTCCCTTGTTTTTTTTGTTTTTTTTGTTTTTTTTTTGCAACAGCAAGCTAAAGCGCAAAAGAAAGAAATGGAGGCCAAGAAAAAATACATGATAGAAGATTGCTTTCATGTAACAACCACCTCGACAGAGCAAAGTTTAGCAGCGCAAGCGAAGACATACTTCACCTCCAGAACGCTGACTGCAAACGATGGATCTAAAGCGAGTGTAACATCACAGAAAATCTCAAAACACCAAAATGCGATCGGCAAGAAAGAAGACCCAACTAACGTGAAAGCAGTTAGACGCACTTCGCTTGTAAATACACAAGATGCTATCGAAAGTACGGAGCCAATACAGCGTGACACTAAACCAGCGGAATCA